CCCCACTGTTTGGTTGAAACAGCTGCAAGCCATTACCCCAATCAGTTTCACTTCCCCCTGCTTCCAAGTGGGGGGAAGTGAAACAGACCAGTGAAATGGCAACCAGCAGGGGTCATTTCGTAGAAAAAGAGCTAGGGGAACTCATTAGCATAACTCATTAGCATATGCCACACCCCCTGACATCACCGGAACTGTGTCATAAGGCCACACCCACCACTCAGTCTTAGTCTTAATGGTTAGTCTTAAAGGTGCTATTTGTTAGTCTTAAAGGTGCTATTTGAACTCTTGGACTATTTTGCAGCAACAGACTAACACAGCTAATTCCTCTGAATCTAAACCCACCACTCAGGCTCCACCCCCAAACAGGCGGGGAGGAAATGGGGAGGAAGCAACTTACCCTCCCTCTTCTCCTGCCTCCTCCTCGCTGAATGAGGGCTGGAAGCGGGGCGGCCAGAAGCAGGGGGCGGGGCTTCGTCGTGTGCCCCGCCCCACACCCCTCATCCGGGGGAATGGCGATCCCCCCCAAATCGACCTCTGGCTACCAGCCATTTCAGCCTAACAGCTGACAGGCACACCTGTCACTGTTACCAGTTTCACTTCCTCCCGCTTCCAATGAAATAGCTGCCAGCCATTTAAACCAAACAGTGGGGAGGGTCTGCCCATCAGGCATTAAACTTGTTGGTTTCACTTCCCCCACTGTGGCTGGGAGAAACGGGGAACCAAACTGGCCAGTTCAGTGCCTTTTGGCTCAGTTTGGGGGCCACCCTGAACTGAACTGGAACTTTAAGGTTCGTACCCATCCCTATGAGTAATTACGGCATCACTTTATTAGTAAGGAAGCAAAAGCACCAGTGACAACCAAACTGAACCCTTTAAATGCTCTGTTTTTAGCAGGGGCTGCCTGTGCCTGATCTCCAAGCGGCAAAATCACCGCTTGGAGATCAGGGAAAGTGAAGCGGCACCTTGCAGGAGGTGAGGAGATGGGCAGCTGCCAGCTGCACACCTTCCCTGAACTCCAAGTGGTGCCGCTTGGAGTTCAGGGAAGGCATGCAGCCAGCAGTCACCCCTCTCCCCCTGTAAGGGAGAGGTGCAGTAGCACACCTTCCCTGAACTCCAAGTGCTGCTGCTTTGAATTCAGGGAAGGCATGCAGCTAGCAGCCACCCCCCCTCCCCTCTTGCAAGAGTTAAAAGGCCTACAGATCAGCTGGAGGCCCCTTTAAATCTTGGAGGAGGGGAGGGAGAGGGGGGGCTGCAAGATTTAAAGGGCCCTCCAGCTGAAGGGCCCTTTTAATGCCACAGGAGGAGATGGAGCAGCAGCTTTTGTGGAGTGTGCCTCCCATTTGAGGGGGTGGGCCCCCAAAATGCCTCACCATAGCTACGGGTCAGTGTACTGGAAGAGTGCACTATGCATAAGTTCAATATGCATGTTCACTTTTTTTATGAATGCAAAAATGTCTATATCCAGCTTTGGTACACATTATCCGAAACCTAGTTTTTTTTTAACTACCCCATCCAAAACCTAGATTTTTGAGGGTATGTGTTCATGCATATGAAAGCTGAAAAAAATGAACATTGCCCTTCTTACCGAAAATGGTAAATGCACATATTGAGACCATGTGTAGCACACTTTCTTGGTGAGCAAGATATAAATGTCTAAATCATAGCCAACTGAAAAGTGCTTCTCATTTGTCAAGTCACACTTCGCAATGAACCATAGCCATAGTTTACAAACCCACCACAAACCATGGTTTCTGTCCAATCACAGAGGCCGTTGGCAGCCACTTAAAATATCAAATATGGGTACTTCTCCATAGCAAATACATACATTGTAAACAATATGCTATGTGTGCAATAACCAAGGTAATATTTCAGCAGTTCATTTCCCTGTCACCTGTCTGCTTCTGAGAATAAGACTGACTGCAATTACTTGTCCAGAGTGCTAACAGGATATATGTAAGGACATATACTGCTATTTTTTTACATCTCAGTAGTTCAGCAAAAACAATTTACAGCTATCTATGTGTTATATATATATATATGCTGCTTCTGAAAACAGGCATAAGCCACCAATAAAACTAGCAGAATTCTTTAATACAAATATGAATGGCATTCAGTTGCTTATTAGCTTCTTCAGCTGGCAAATATCCCTGCTAGTATTATAAGATATGCTCTCAAGTTGCAAGGCAAGTGTTACTGGGTTGCAAAGAAAAAGATAAGAAAGAAACTGAACTTGCGTTCAGTTAGTGGGAGCAACATTTGTTCATTTGTCAGTTAAAGAACAGTGCAAATACACAAACAGCATCAGAAAAGAGCTAAGACTAAAGGCAAAGCAGTCTAGAAATTGTCCTTTTCTTTCCTGAAATACCATTTACGCAAAGAAAAAAAATAGTTCTTGCTTTAAATGGACGGCACTAGCCTCTGTTCAATCATGTTCTGTATTACACGAAGGCTGTTTTTCAAGATAAGAAAAATGAAAAAGCCGGAGTACTGTACGAGGCTTGGAAGAAGCCAATGTCTTTAGTCCTCACTACAAGAAACCAGGTCATAGTTTTGTGGCATTATGTCCAGGATGCATATGGGACCATATTCAGAGGAAAAGCCTTAGCCAGGGCCCAGTAACAAAAAGAAAATAATCATATCTGAAGGAACACAAAGGGCCTGAGAAGAAGCAGAAAAATTACTCCTCGTTGCACAGGCAATGAGATCCTGAGATGCCTTAGAAATTAACTGAACCCTACGCTCCCTTCACTAGAGTTGGCTGTCAATAGTTAACAAGTCCTTGCACACTACATAGCAGAATGTACTCTTATCTGTAAGAAAGGCTGTTAGCTGAGCAGTGAGCAATGGGTTTGAGAGATTCACCTCTATAAAGAGTATATAGCAGGAGAAGAAAGCAAACAATTGTCTTGGATACTTTGAGGAATTTTATTAAGAAAAAAGGCAAGACGACTTCCGGTGATGGCGGCGCACTAGAGCAGACTCACCTCCTGGACCTTCCGGGGGTGAAGCTGCGCTCCAGCCGAAGGAGGGGGTGCACAGGTTCATCACCCCCCCAGGGACCCGGTTGAAGGGACCCTGGCCATGGAACTTCTGAGAGGTCACCTCTTCGATAGCGGAATGCCGGAGAATTGAGACGCCTCTCCGTTCCGACGGTTCTCCGTGCTGAGAGACCGAATGGACTTAAGCAACGCTAACAGGGGCAAGCGCAGGAGATCGAGCGTCCGAAAGAGAACGTACACGAGGTCCGAGGACCGATTATGAACGTGAGTTGTTTAAGCGATGTTTAAAGAGAAAAGAAAGCTCCCTACCCTAACCTACGCAGCAGAGATTAAGGCGAGTGGGGGAGGGACGCCTCCCAAGTGCATAAACTTTTGAGCGGATGAGGGGGGGAGCGGAAGAAAAAACGCTTAAAACGGTTAAGAAGTACTTACAAAGGAGTGTTTGAGCATTTAAGCGCATATTCAGAGACTTTAAAAAAATTGCGAAAGTAAACAAACCGAAGAACATGGCGGGGAAGAGGACAGAAAAGGAGAAGTTGCTGAAATCGAAAGTGACGGAAAGCCCAAAAACGGAAGGAACCAATGAGCTGGCAAAGATTTTGGCAGAATCCATGCACCCTCTAATGGACCAGCTGAATAACTTCAAGGAACAGATGTCTAATATGACTCAATGTATCACCGCTCAGCAAACCCAGATAAATGAGACTTTGAAAATGATGAATCAAACAGCTGAGAAGGTGAAAGAAGTGGATGCCACTGCCCAAAAGGTGAAGAAAAAAGTAAAACAACTGGAAAAGAAGCAAGTCTCCACAGAAGATCAATTGCTACAACTACAAATAGAAAAGGCTAACATGATTCTTCGCTTTCAGGGCTTGCCAGAGACTAAAGGAGAGAATCTAAAGGAAATGATGAGTGAAGTATTGGCCCCAGTGACAGAGATGAAGGCGGAACTGTTGATAAGAGATATGGATGTGGCCTATAGGTCATATTCAAGATATATAAAGAAAAACAATCTGCCTGGGGAAATTGTTGTAAGATTCTTGAAGAGGCATGTGAGGGATGCAATCCTGAAAGCAGTATCTGGAGTACCCCTGAAAGTTGGGAAAAATGTCATAAGAGTTCTAAAA